CTTCTAGTTAGGACATCTGTCAGGTTTTATCCTGATGACCATTGCATTGGGACTATAAGGTGAGGGTAATATCCCCAATGAGAACACAGCAAAAAAAAAAAAAACCCTCTAATCCCTCTGTACTCTATTAAAAAGAGTTCAAATGCGGCAACTGTCAACCGAACATTAACTTGAATGGGGGACAACAGCCACTTCTAAATGGCATATTTGGGGGATTCCTGTAGTAGGAATCCTAAAACTCATATTCACAAATGGTGTGAATGAACCTTTTTAAAGCTCTCATGTCTCACTGAATACTGATTTCCAGTTGTACTTCATGGGTATCTTTATCTTTCTCCTAGGGCATTGGAGAGCCAGGCCTTTTCTTAGGTTCTGCTGTGTTCTTTGCAATAAAGAATGCTTTATCATCTGTCCGAAAGGAACGAGGCTTGTCTAGTACTTTTACACTAAACAGCCCTGCAACCCCAGAGAGGATACGTCTGGCTTGTGGAGACAAGTTTATTGATATGGTAACTCACTGCTTTATATCTTGCTGTATTGCGCAAATGATACTGCATTAGTGTGATTGACAAATCACGCCTCATGTATTAAGTACCCTAATATTAGGACTTTGTTTTTTAACAACAGTTCTGGAAATAACTAAACTAGAAACTGATTTCTGCTGGGCCACAAGAATAATTTCCTTTAGAACACCTTTCTCATAAGAGGACCATAACAATGTATTTAATGGGTGATTATCAGTCAAACTATTTCAAATATACTGGTTTAAAATGATATATACACAGGGGTTCATTTACTAAAGGAGTAGAGTCGTGGTAGGCAACTTCGGCACCCCAGTGGTGGTGAAACTACAACCCCCATCATGACAATGCTTGTCAGAGTTTTGCAATGCCTCACGGGACTTGTAGTTCCACAGCAGCTAGAGTCCCGGGGTTGTCTATTCCTGGAGTAGAGCATGCTCGTGAATTTTCACTTTGCATGGGGATGTTAGGGAAAGGATGTATAGATGATTACAGAGCTGCATTCATTTCTGTCTTCAGCTTATTTTTGGTTACCTGCCCCTTTGAAGACTAGCTAATGACAATGCATGTCTAAAAGTAAAATAAAACATTAATTTTTATAAAGTTTTAACAATTTAAACCCTGATTAACCCCTTGTTATCACTAATCAGCCTTAAGGGCCTGTTCACATGAGATCAGGTCCTGATCAGCAGACGTGGAGTTGCTGATGCAGTGCGTTTTTGACGTGTTTTTGATGCGTTTTCGGTCCGGATGCTGACAGTTCATTTTTTTTTTTTGCCAAGGGGCTGTCAGTATGCAGATTCAGCCTCTGAGGTCACTTCCGCCCTCTCGGAACATCTACTTCCCTTTGTGTATGTAAAGCTGGTGATCAGACATGTATCACATGTTTGCAGGCATGTTGATGGTGCTGGCTACAGCAATCTGCAGAGAACGATCCCGCAGGAGACGTCGTTATTGGGTACACCCGATCTTGAGGCTCCGGGACTCCAAGGGTCAGTTCTGGAGTTTTGTATGAGGATTTGCGAGTTCACCCGGATACATTTTTTTCCTTTACTCGTATGTCCATGGCAAGGTAATAGGTTGGGGTAGAGGTAACGACATGAACTGCAAACATTTGGAACATGCCCGTCTGTCTATCGTCGATAACATCATAATAAGTGGAGCAAGAATATCATTTTTTTTTCCTTAGCTGCATTGCGTTGCGTTTCCGTTCCGTTTTCGTTGCGTGCGCGTTCGTGCGTTTCCGGACCGGACAAAATGTGACATGCAGTATTTTTTCTGTCGTAAGCTGAACGGACTGCGCACGTGAGAACTGTAGCCCATAAAACACATAGGGATACATTGGGATGCATTTTGAGTGCAGCAGCGTATGGATCCGGTCAGCACACAAAACGGACTGCATTTCACATTTTGTCCGGTCCGGAAACGCACATAGAACTTTTCCTCCCAGCGCACTCCAGCGGTTGTGCTTTCAACATGGCTGGCTGGTGTGAATGAGATGTTATAGTCCACAAGGGAACGTACACTGCCTACTGGTTGATCATAGTTTACATAGGTACAGCACCTTGCAAGTTTCCCGGGGGAGGCTATAGGTTGAAATATTAAAGCGTCTGCAGCTACAATATCGCCATTCCAGCCTCTTTGCTTTATTTACGCCTAACTAGAGTATGCAAATATTGTAAATATCTCAATCTTTCTTTTTTTTGTTGTAGATTAAAATGGATGATCCTGCAACTTTCACCCCATGGTCTATTGATGTATGAAACTTTGCATTTTGGTTTGAAATATACTCAGGATAAAACATTCATCATCAAAAACAAGTAGCACAAAATGCAATTACTAAAGGACTTCACATGAGCAGAACATATAATACGGCCACTGCTTCAAGAAGATGATATTATGTGAAACTTGACTACAAATAATACGTTTCATCATTGTATGCAGTTGAAATGCCTGGAAGATTTAGAAAAATAATGGTAGAGTTTAGGGGAGATTACTTATGAGCTCTAAGGATATGTTTTCATTAAATTAAACAATTTGTACTTTGAGAAATACAGGGATTGCCATTGCTGACGACCTTCTAAAAATGCTGGTTGCTTGGTTGCTTGACTATCAATGGCTTGAATACCATCTGAATCACTTACCAGAAGCAAGCACACAGCCAAAGTGGAACTATACCCGCCTCCCCTCCTGCAGTGTGACATCCACAAACCCCCTTACCGGTGCCAACTTCTACTCTCGGGGGTATTCCAAAAGAGACATATGTGCAATAAAAAGTCTCCCTGTTCACAAATCTTTTATGGCCACTAGATGGAATTTCTTGTTTCCCTGCTTCATCTAGGAGCCTTAATGTGCTGCAAAGGTTTTCTAAAATGTTTGCATACAGAACATGCATAGTATGCAATAGTATGTCTCTTATGCAAGAAAATGCCTGCCTGTTCTCACATTTTTAAAGTCTAGGCAAAGTTCCACATTAAACTGTATCTAAATCCAAGAACAGAAATGTAATATATTGCAGTTACCAAGCCTAAGATGTGGTGGCTATGTTCGTTTTCATTATGGTAATGCACTCATTACCATAATGAAATGTATGGTAAATGTGCATTGCAATGCAAACATAATTGCACTCCAAAGTACACCTACACTCTGCTGCAATTTACTGTATGTGCATTATGGTGGACTAGACCAAAAAGCACAGATGCATATGTATTGCAAAGAAATTGTGCGGAACTGATTTTTGCACATGTTGAGGTGTCTTGAAAGCCCAATCCTTTTGAATAGCCTACCTAAAGAAATGTACCTCAGTGCGTGAAAAATGTTATGGAGTCAGTGGGCCCTTATTCACTGTGTATTATGTACTACAATGCTTCTGATACATTACAAATCAAATGTGTGTATGCAATTAAAAAATCTGACACTGAATTTATAAATCTGATGTAATTCTTGATGGACTTCAAAAAAAAAAAAAAAAACCTCTAGCAACAGGCAACATGACGCTCATACAAAACTTTATGCGAAATAAGAAGTTTTTATAATTGTTATTTTCTGTAATGGTAATGGTCTGTAATGGAAACATTCAGCATGTGTGTTAATGTTTCCAGTAGGGATGCACTAGACTTGTGCGCCGTCAAAAAATTTGTTCTGTTTCGTTTCGGAATATCCGTTATTTCGTATTTCGTAATTCGTGTCCGGAACTCGATTCGGATTCGTACGAAATACGAAATTTCGTTAATGACGGTTATTTTTTCGTATCGTAACGAACATTCGTTATGATAAAGTTAAAAAATCCCTTTGCTAATATTGTATTTTTTCCCCGAAATACGAAATTCCGTTGACGAATTTCGGATTTGAATCCGAAAGTGAATTAAATCTAATATTAGATTTACTACCTCTGTCTCTGATATTGTAGTCGATCGATGGTATATATTTTTTTAATATATTTTTTTAATATATTAATATTAGTATTAGTACCTACTACCTCTCTGTCTGTGATATTTGAATAGATCAATTGTAATTTTTTTGTAATCCGAAATACGAAATTCCGTTGACGAATTTCGGATACGAATTTCGTTGAAACGTAAACTAATCTAAAGTAGTCTTAGTCTGTGACTGTGGTTGAAACAGCATGACATGATTTGTTTTCAAATGTGAAATACGAAATTCGGATAACGAATTTCGTATCCGAATTTCGTTACAACGGAAACGTGACTGGTGTTTGACCAATCAGAGGTTTTCTTATGCTTAGGGAGGGTTGCATTACAAAAACATGAAGTCTGAAATTCCCTTAACGAATTTCGTATACGATGCCGATTTTCCTTCGTACGGAAACATGTGACTGGTTTTTGCCCAATCAGAGGTTCTCTACTGCTTTTGAGGGTTGCATACATCACAGGCACGACCATGTGACAGAGACATGTGACTGTTGGTTGACCAATCAGAGGTTTTCACGATCATGTGATGTAAACATGTGACTGTTGGTTGACCAATCAGATGTTTTCTTCTGCTGTACTACAGGCCCGACCATGTGAGTTCCCTTTGTGGGATTAGCTATAGTAGTGGAGCAGATCACACGATTTTTTGTCTGTGCATCTGATCTAATATCTTTGCAATCCTTCTTTTGTTCAAGTTAATTTGAGTTGATATCACTTGTAGTGAGTTAGTACATCATCCGTAGGTGTTTATTTTCAGCGTTTATTAGTTTTTTGGGTGATAAGAAATAAGAAAAATAATAGTGAGAGATAATAGATTAATTTCATTTTTCTGTTAGATTTATTTTAGAATTAGTTACTTCCTGCTATTCTATTAATTTTTTGGACTTTTGCTGATTAGTTTGCTGCAATCTAAGGCCCCGTTCCCACTGCGCGATATGCAAATCGCGCGTTTGTTGCGCGATTTGCATATTGCGCGACATCGCGAGATTTGCCGCGCGATGTCGCGTTCAAGCTTGCATTGAGCAAGCTTGAATCGCGGCTAAATCCGCTCCAAAAAGGGTCCTGCTGTAGGGACACACGACCCGCGACAGCAGGACCCTTTGCCCCATTGGATTGCATTGGAGCGCGATATCGCGCGGTAATTTGCCGCGATATCGCGGGAATTACCGCGCGATAAATCGCTCAATGTGAACGGGGTCTAAGGCCCCGTTCACACTGAGCGATTTATCGTGCGATTTTTTGCAGCGATATTGCTCATATTTCCGCGCGATATCGCTCTATGTAGCTTCTCCAATACATTTCAATGGAGCTGTTCACATCTCGTCGCTCAATATCGCTTGTAGCTCGTCGCTGGTAGCTTGTCGCTCCTACATGACCCTTTTTTAGAGCGATTTTGAGCGATATTGCTCCTGATTGCATACAGCCCAATAGGAAAGAGTTGCGCGATACATCGCTCAATATCGCTCGTCGCGCAATTTTCATGTAGCTCAGTGTGAATGGGGCCTTAATCATTTTTTTGGTCTAGATTGTTCCAATTGTTTATTAAAAAAATGAGCAGCAAACAAGTCCAAAAAAGCAGGAAGAGCTGGGAGAGGGAGAGCAATGAGCTCAGGACATGAACAGCCGGTGGGACGTTCTGTCTCTGAGCTCAGGTCACCTCCCGTAAAGTTAAGGAGAATGGGAGTTAGAAGTGGTGATGGTAAAGATCCTGGCAAACAGCAGGAGGCACTTGCATGTCGCAAGCTGTTCCAGGATCATTTACCTCCTAGAACCAGCAGCAGCGTTCAAGGCGCTACCACCTCTGCTGGTAGCATGGTGCCCATTGGTACCTTTTATGGAAGAGGGCAGGCCAAAAGGGTTCCCATTCCAAGTGTACATTCTTTTGTGCAGCCAAAGCTGGAGATCCTGTCCATCATCAGCCTCATGATATGATTCCTGCTGCATGATGTCACCACTTCCAGTGCCATCACCATCAGCACTAGTACAGGGAGCTTGGCAGTGATCAGCAAGGAGCATGAGTTTAGTGCTTCTAAAGATCACTGTTCCATTGGCCATGTGGAAGAGGTGGAAACTGACATCGTTGTAGACGATTCAGATTTCTTGTCCTCTACCCATTTTGGCACGACCGACAGCCCAGGCAGTGTCTCCCCGCAGTCCCTCATTCTTTTCTCGCCTGAAAAGTCCCATGTCCAACTGTTTTCCAAGTCTCCAACTCCCGAACGGGCCAATCCAATAATTAGGCCTCAATCGTCCACATCCACAGCACCCAAAATCCCTGTGATGTTCAGGCCTCTTCCTCCTGCTCCTGCTGAACATCAGGAAGAGAGTGTGACCACTGAAGTGGAAGCGATTGCATCAGGCAGCAGTGGCTTCCGTTCCAGCATTTGGCAGCATTTAAAAAAAATGGGTGTTGGTCAGAAGGCCAAATGCAACCATTGTGGCAAGGAAGTCAGCCGTGGCCGAAACATAGGGCATCTCAGCAACAGTGGCATGAACCAGCACATGCGTGTGCACCACCACGCAGTGCTGTTAGGGGAGGAAAGTGTTGTGGCTCCTCCTCCAAGAGCCAAAAGGGTAACTATTAGTGGCACCGTCACAGCCACCATGAGTGCCAGCACCACCAGCCAATATAAGGCACCAAAGGATGCTGTTACCATCCACCAGCATCCAACCCATACCAGCCAGGCCACCCTTGAAGATTTTGGTGGCTTTCAGAGTAAGGGTATTTCACGGGCGCTGGGACGTAAATTAACCCGCCTAATCGGCCAGCTCATTGCAGTTGGAGGAGCATCTTTCAACCTGGTGGAAGGTGAGTCCTTCAGGCAATTGATGCAGGCTGTTGCACCACAGTACCGTGTGCCGTCACGGAAGACCTTAAGCCAAACTGTGGTGCCAGCCTTTTACAGGTCTTGTGTAGGAGGAGGATATTGGAAGGGCAGGTGGACAGGCAGTGCACCTGACCACTGACCTGTGGAGTGCTGGTAGTGGCCAGCACGCCTACCTGTCCCTGACGGCACATTGGTGGCAGGCCACGGTGTCCCAGGATGTAGCTCAAACATCCGTATCCTCGTCAGCAGCAGTTGACAAACAGGGGCACCGGTCATTCCTCCTGCACGCTGAGGTGCTTGACGAAAAGCACACAGCCCGGAACATCCTTCAAGCCCTGCAGAAAATGCTTGCGCAGTGGTTTGGACAGGCAGACAGCAGCAACTACAGGATTGGCTATGTTGTCACCGATGGAGGCAGCAACATGGTCAAGGCTATAAGGGATGGCAGCTTTGTGGGTGTGCGTTGCTCGTCCCACATTCTACACCTGGTGGTAACTGACAGCT